GTCTACAACTGTTGCTGCTACTGCTGTGCCTTCCTGGACTACTCCAGCTATGTAAAAATAGTTTCAGAATTTTGTTAGCTAGTTCAACAACATCACCCAATCAAGAAACCAACAGAATATGGTGGAAAGGTACCATGAGAGGAATATCGGGCTCAGTTTAAAATAATTTCTAGAGTTAATGAGTAACTACTGAAAAATTGGCTGTTGGTAGCTGCCTTTTCAAATAGGTTTGGAGTGACACACCAGAAGCAATTGTCCAGAATAGATTACAGACGAAAGAAAAGACCTTAGCTGAACTTGCAGAATATTTGGAATGGTTGCCCAATTACCTTACCCAACTGCTTCACGTGGAATGATTGATTCGTTGGGACATGACTAATTTATAGATGCCTGTTTATTTAAAAGTAGCTCTTCAGTTGGTGATGGAGCTTGAATAAATTAAAATAGCAGATAAGCAAACAAATACACCACCTAGAAGTTATGAAATAATCAAATCAAGTAGTGTTGAAATATAATTCTCCTGGATGAAATAAGCCATAAGACAATAGATGCTTCAAGTGTAACTTAAAATGGCTGGTAATTTTTTGCAATCCAAAAGGCCAGATAGTAAGATGGCCCAAGAAACTTCAGAAGTACAATTTTAATATTGTGCATCACCTTGGGATCTGGATGAATCAGTGGACATGCTGACATGTTATCTTGAAGACCATGTGTTAATGAAAAATGTAAACACTGAAAAGAGGGACACAAGGGATATTAATGATGATAAACCTAAAGTACATTAGAGTATAATCCCAGATGTGATGTCCATAACTGACGATGAACTACTTATGTGATCCAACACTGAACTGAAAAATGCTCAGTAAAAACATACGAGTTTGAAACCAATTATTTAATGGATCAATAATACCGAAAAACGTGCACTATTCACGTGACTGTTAGTGATTCCAATTGAAACATAAGGGAGGTTTTATATCCTCAGGACATCACTTGGTCTACCAATGGAAAATTCAGCTGTCTACTTCTGTGTATAGTATTCACAACTTTGCAGAAGTCTTTTCTATGGGTTAAACCGTAAGTGAATGACTCAGAACAATACGTAGCTAGGGCAAAAGGAACTTGTTGATTTTCTTGACTGCATATGCTTAAATAAAACATTCTACATTAAAATTAGGGGTTAGCAAACAATGTATTTTTGCATACCACTTTTTTTCTCCCTCTTTACTTTCAGGCCATCCCTTACTTTAAAATATAAAACTAAATTTACTCATGCATCTGTAAAAAAAAAATCAATGTAACTTTCTTTCGCCCCAGTAGAAACACGCCCTTTAACAATGATCAGTGATTTCAATTTCCAAATTCATATTACCATATTATTCATGCCAAATGAATAATCAATAGGCTGAAATGTTTTGTACAAAATCAATAACAATAATAAAGGAAAATGTGCAGAATGAAACGTTTTTCATAACTTATTAAAACAAATTGAAACCCTGTTATGTAGCACATTAAAACTACGAAACAGTAGAATATCAAAAGTCAAAATCACATGCAAAATGAACCCTTTCACAAACTAATATCAGTAAAAGAAAATATGTTAATGTGACAAAGTTATTTTGGATTACTAATGTACATATTTACAGGTGATCTCCAGACTAGATGTTACACAACTCCATGAAAGACTAAGTTACGTAAAGAAAGGAATTGAAGAGTAATGTTTATTAAACAGGACAATATGTTGTACATACTTAGATGCTAATGAGGATGTCTTCTATTTTATTACCTAGAATAATGGTAACGTATAAATACATTGGAATCTTGAAGTAGACAACTAGGAGGTTATCATAATGAAGACTATAGTCATTTATGATATACTAATTACTCCGTTAACCTGGTAGAAAGCATTACCACATGTGGAACAGTTATGCACAATATCACATGATGATCAAAGGATTATGCCAGTAAAAAAAAATAATGAAGTGTTAAATCACAATAAAGAAGCAGAAGCTCGTTGGTTTACAATTGTTATCTGGCAGATTGTTTCCTTTGCCTTCTGCTTATTGGCAAGTTCAGTGTGAAGACACTGCACATCTTCCTTCTTCAGTCATTACAGTGGGTCCGTGTGTTTCAACTGATAGTATTTTTCTCGATTATGTAGAACCCAGGCTTTGGTCCATCTTGTAGCCTGTGTTTGGCACTGATACTTTAGAATCGCCAGTTGTTGAAATGGGGGCTATGAGACAGAGTCATTAGTGTTATTGTCAGGAGATCAAGTTTCTCTAGTAATAATGACTGAGAGCAGGTTTGCTTGGCCAGTGGTAAGGCTGGTGCCATAAATGTCAAGGACCCCTTGTTAACATCAATCATAGACTGTGATGTGGTCACTGCTATGAGTATTTGTTTCCGGCTCTTCCGTGATTTACAGATCTTCAACACTGGGAAAGCTTTCATCAGTCTGAGGATGAAATTGTCAAGCTGGAGGTGGGTGCAGTGTTGTCATTACCATTGATTGTGTTTGGTGGTGTTATGCTCTCCAGTTGGCTCATCTTTCACTTGTGGTAGAATTACATTGGGGGTGAAGTAATGTAGCTGTACCACAAGAAGGTTGGGTTCTACTGGCGTCAGGAGCATTATTTAATGGCTTGGTGTTGGTAGGATGGTTGACGTTTAGCTGGGAACATGGACATCAGCTCTCCATTCCTCATGATGGATCTCATACATTCAATGTTTTAGCCAACAATGCATATTTGTCTACTGGTTCGGCCGAGTCAAACATGAAGCTGGTTATTGGTGTTTTGAGGGTTATTGAAAATGAGCCCAAGTCCCTAAAGGAAACAAACTGTCAGCTCAATCTCCATCTATATTACACTAAAGAAAATTCAGAGGTTAAAATTAAGAATGAAACCCGACTGGGCAGTTGAGAAACAAGATCGCCAGAATAGTTAAGAACTTGCATCACATTCCCTCCAGACTTCTTTCAGATATAATTTTATTACAAACTAGATATGGTTACAAAACATCAAATGGTTGCTACCTTCTGCCAAGGTATGGTTACAAAACATCAAATGGTTGCTACCTTCTGCCAAGGTATGGTTACAAAACATCAGATGGTTGTTACTTTCTGCCAAGGTATGGTTACAAAACGTCAGATGGTTGTTACTTTCTGCCAAGGTATGGTTACAAAACGTCAGATGGTTGTTACTTTCTGCCAAGGTATGGTTACAAGACATCAGATGGGACAATCACGTAATTCCAAAAGATTTGAAACTCAAAACTGTGATTGATGTCACACGTCCCTGGAAAATTATTCACACTGTAGAGGTAGCTATTGTAAGATAAAGCATTCATCATCATGTGATATAGGAATATACCACAGGTTTCTTCTTTCTAGTACTTGTATTTATCCTGAACTTATACTTTGTTCTGTATATGTGCAGGTTTTCACAAAACACGTGTTCAAAAACTATTAAGTTGATCTTTTTTCAAAGTTCTTTTTTCATTTTTAAAGTAGGTGACACCTGTTAACGCCCATGGAGAACATTGCTTAAAGCGACCTTGTTTCAACATATCAATGGTAACGTCCTTCACTGGTTGTACAGATAGTATCTAGAGATGATGGCCCCGCCTATGTGCGATGAGAATGACCAGTGATGTGGTAATCCCGCTATGTTAGTCGTATTCCAAGTTTTAACTATGTCTGACCCCGGTTTGCGACCAGGTGGAGTAGCGGGCTTATATAACATAGCTTAAAGTATTTTCAGGTAAATACCACAATCACAAGTATGTAATATAAATTACGATCAAACATTTTTACAAACAAACTTTCAAGTATTTCATCAAGTAATGGAACTGCCTAATAAGTCAGCTACCCTAACCTTTACAAAGGTGCAGAAAGATTAGGATTCACCTTATCCGAAAGACAGACAGACAAGGAATCATAGAAATAACAATATACGAGTTATTTAAAATATCGCTCTAAAAATAAGAGTATTTCGATATGACGAACTCGTTTATTTGTAAAAAGTTTTTATACTAAAAACATGCGAACCATAGATAGTAATATTACAAAAAAAAGACCGTTTAATGCACTTCGCCTATATTTCTAGTCTTCGTATTGTGTCATAATGTTGATAAACCTATTGTTTTAACAAAGATAGGAAATATCCAATATATATGTTATATTAGTACCATAGAATTACAATTCTTTATAATATATATGTTATATTAGTACCACAGAATTACAATTCTTTATAATATGTTATATTAGTACCACAGAATTACAATTCTTTATAATATATGTTATATTAGTACCACAGAATTACAATTCTTTATAATATATGTTATATTAGTACCACAGAATTACAATTCTTTATAATATATGTTATATTAGTACCACAGAATTACAATTCTTTATAATATATGTTATATTAGTATCATAGAATTACAATTATTTATAATATATGAAACCTTTGTTTAACTGCCGTTATCGGTGAATATTACGTCATGACTATAAAGGCTGTTTCATTATTTTTATAAGGGGTAAACGCCTATAATCATAGTTTATAAAATATCCACATTTTTTAAAAGCACATTTGTACAGATGTTTAGTTATTGTGCTGTTGTGTACTTTCGTACAATATTACAAAAGTTTACTATCTATTTCACCAACATAACACTAGTTAACACTTGATATATATACCTACCTCCTTGGATGTGTTTTATATGGGAGGGTGGGTTCGTCTAACGATAATATTTTCTTAATGTGTAGTATAACTTTAATAAAGATGTATTACAAGACGATTATTAGGTAAAAGAAGAAAATGCACGTAAAAACATTACTGATGACATCAAAATAGAAATATATATCAAAATATACTTTTTATTCTTTGTATATAGTTTCATATCTAAACATTTCAAAACCTAGTTCATAAACAAGGAACTGGTAGTTCCATATATCTAAAGTTTACATAAGTCATAAAACTGAATGTTGCATAAAATTACTGAGTTAAATTATGTGTTTATATGAAAATGTAAATATAAAAAATAACTTATTTATTTATGTGTCAATAATACGCTAATATCTAACAATAATTACACAATATAGCGTGAAAGTATAAATCAAATTTGAATATCTAAATTGTGAGTAGAAGTTCAGTAACATTTGTTGATTGTTGAATACCGGCTTTACAGATTTATTTGAAATGATGAGGGATTGGGACGCCAAGTTCATAATGAACTATGCTTGAGCTGTCTTTGATTAGAGAGTTAAAAGTCACGTGTTATTTGTGAATTCTGCTGCCCAACGTGTGAGGGTGCTTACATCGGCTCGGCTGTTAGAAGTCTGGGAACTCGTTTACAACACTAAAGGTAAAGCTACAAAACGAGGCTATGTTACAGGTCCAAGAGACATTTCTTATTCTTCCAAAGAAGCAGAGATTAAACAATCAACAAAGTACCACTGAACATTTACTCACGATTTAGGTATTTGAGTTCACAATATGTAGGGTCGTTGACCTCGAATCTTACATAGAAGTATACGTATTTCCCGATCTTGATTCTTGTCAGTGGAATAAGAAGTCAGGAGATTACTCTGCGTCTATACTCTTATGATATCTTGTTTAGAGAAGATAGAGCAATTCAGGGCAGTAGTAATTTCAGGTTTATTATATGTCTTTACAGAGACATATAGAAAAAATCATTCCAAAAATCTGAAAAAAGATTCATATATATATATATTTCAACAACTTTAAAGTTTACTATTATCAACAAAATGTAAGTAGAATCATAAGAAAAGAAAGGAACTATACATTTAAACGTAAATGTTCGTCTACACCTCTGGAATATAAATATGGACTATTTTGAAATACAGCAATATTCACTGATGAGTTACATAAGTAATTCTGTCCTTTCAATTACAACTATTTCAATTAGATTTTATTTGCCAGGTTATTATCATTATATGACCTATTCATGTGATTAACATGTTTTTAGGAACTTGCCATATGTGTGTTTTAGGAAAATCACCACAATGTAAACTTAATACCATAGACAACCAAGTAGTTTGAGGTCAGACGTAATTTAGTTTCTTATCTATACTTCAACAAATATTTCATGATAGGATGGGATGTACCTCTCATATTAATTGTTTTGTGCTGATTTGCATGTTAGAATATGGATTAGTAAACCCATCTAGAAACAGAGAAAGTACACTCGAATAATTTTATTTATTTTTGAAATATCTCTTCACTCAAAGAAAGCAATATAGTACTTGTAAACGTTTTTTAGAAAAGTTCATACTTTAAAAAATCACATAATAATTCAAAAACAACTAGAGCTGAAACATGAACATAATCAAATTAAAAAGGCTTCTGCGAAATTTTATAAAATACAGTTTTGTTTCGTTCTTCATTTGAGTATTACCAAAACCTGTAAGTACGACTTCCTTATCTAACCTTTTTTAGTCGATTAGAAAAAAATAATAATTTTTTATAAAGGAAATTTTAAAACTTTCTCGTTTACGTTCCTTTTTAAGTTTAATGCTAGATCTGCGAGAGAAAAAAATAATTAAGAAAACTCACTTCAAGTCCAGCTATTCCACAGCCAATTCCAATGAGCACCGTGCTTTCTCGACGGACGAAGTCTTCTAATTTTATCAGACAGCCCTTTCAGAGTTTGAGATTAAAATAAGTTTATTAATATTTGTGAGTTCTTAGCTCACTAAAAATTGTATCATTAATAATTTATATGTTGACCTACTAGAAAAAAATTCATAATTTTGCTGTGTAGTCTTTCCAAAGATCAGGTATTTAACCAAGATAGGCTTAGCATGTTTACTTTCCGAACAGCTAAGCCTAAGTTAAACCGTTATTAAGTTAACAGAAATAATGAGTGGAACTCGGCGATTGTTCAGTTGAAATTACGAAATTATATTATTATGATATTTGAACTATTTTTATTACTACCCAATAAATCATCATGTTTTATTTTTAAATAACTCTTCCACTCATCTTTTAACGTTAGGAAGTTAAGAATGGGATACGTGTGCCAGTTGCTACTTTTTTGTCCTTGAATATTGGGCAGGTACAAAAGGTTTGGAAGTTGGCTAATGTATATCCTATTTTCAAAGGAAGTGATAAATTTTTCCCATAATTAGTTTTAGATCAGTGGTGGGAAAAGTTTTGGAAATCTGATAACAAATGTTTTGAAAAGTCATTTAACAAAGTTTAGAATTTTATTGGCTAGTCAACATGGTTTCAATAAAAGAAAATCTTGCCTTACAAATCTTTTGACATTCTTTGAAAAGGTTACTGCTTATATATATGACGGTAAGGGTGTATCTGGATTTTCAGAAAGCACTTGACAAGATGCAACATAAAAGGCTTGTAAAAACAATTATCATTATAGGTGTGGGGGATAAGTTAGCAAATTAGACAGAAGAAAGCAGAGGGTTGTTACAAGTGGGGTACCTCAGGGCTCAGTTTTGGGACATTTGCTTTTTTGATTTACATCAATGACATAGATGAAGGAATGGTCAATAAATTACTTAAATTTG